TTGGAAGCGTGATGAGATCATTGATGATGCATTCGCATATATGGTATCACAAGAAATTGACAAAGAAGTTGAGGATCCTGAACCAAAGTCTATGATTGAATGTCAGAAAAGTCATGATTGGGACAAGTGGAAAGGTGCTATTCAAGCCGAGTTAAATTCGCTTAATAAACGAAAGGTTTTTTGACCTATAACCATTATACCCAAAGACATAAAACCTATTGGGTACAGATGGGTTTTTGTCAGGAAAAGAAATGAGAAAAACGAGATCACAAGATATAAAGCTCGTCTTGTAGCACATGGATTCTCCCAGAGGCCTGGGATCGATTATGATAAAACATATTCCCCTGTTATGGATGCGATTACTTTCAGATACTTGATTAGTTTGGCCATCCATAAAAATCTTGAGATGCGTCTTATGGATGTTGTGACTGCTTACTTATATGGATCGTTAGACGCTGACATTTATATGAAAATTCCAGAAGGAATTAGAATTCCCGAGGCACTAAAGTCCAAACCTAAAGAGTTATGTGCGATAAAACTGCAAAGATCATTGTATGGCTTGAAACAATCCGGGCGTATGTGGTATAATTGTTTGAGTGAACAATTACTGAAACGTGGGTACATAAATAATCAAATATGCTCGTGTGTTTTTATAAAAAGATCACAAGATGGAGTTGTGATAATTGCTGTCTATGTCGATGATTTTAATATTATTGGGACTACAAATGAAATTCAAGAAGCAGTCACTTTACTGAAAGGCGAATTTGAAATGAAAGACCTCGGGCAGACCAAATATTGTCTCGGCTTTCAAATAGAATGGGTCCAAAATGGGATATTTGTCCATCAATCTAATTACACTAAAAGAATTCTGAAACGATTCAATATGGACAAGGCTAATCCACTTAGTGCCCCAATGGTCAATCGGACATTAGATGTCGAAAAGGATCCATTTCGACCTTGTGATGAAGATGAAGAAATACTTGGTCATGAAATACCATATATGAGTGCAATAGGGGCTCTTATGTATCTTGCAAATTGCACCAGACCAGATATATCTTTTGCTACCAACTTGTTGGCGAGATATAACTCGGCACCTACAAGGAGGCATTGGAATGGGATTAAGCTTATATTCCGTTATCTCCAAGGGACAATCGATTTGGGACTGTTTTACTCTAACGATAAAAAACATGAAA